GCATGCATTTAAGAAGAAATTCTACAGACATAGCTGAAGTTAAGCACCTTTATTAGTCATCCTGGCAACAGGAAGCTTGTCCCAGTTTATGTTTATGCTTAATTTATTTAAAAGGTCATGAGCAGTTATTTCCATCATGTAAAATCATGTGGAAGACAAATTGGACTCTATGCAGTCCTATAAAAACTAAGTACACCCTATGACTCAGTAGCTTGTAGAACCATCTTTAGCAGCATGTGGTGTAATGACACTTGTGAGCATTTGTTTATGCATAGCTCTCTAAAGTTCCCACCATGGTGTTTTGATCAGGTTAAGGTTTTCTTTTTCAGCAATTCTGTTATAGAGTTGCTGCTGTACTTGGGATCATTGTCCTATTGCACCTCCCAGATTGGCCCAAGCTTGAGCTGTCAGACCGATGGCCTCAAATTTGATTTAATTTGAGGCCAGAGGAGTTCTGTGGCTGCCAAACGACCCAAATCATCACCACTTCACCACCGTGCTTGAAAGATTAGGATAGGGTTTTTGTGTTGATATACTATGTTTGCTTTTTCTTACACTGTGGTGCTATACATTATATCCAAACAGCTCCACTTTGGTCTCATCTGTCCAAAGGATATTGTTCCAGAACTGGCTTGTTCAAATGTAACTTTGCAAAGCCATACCGCCATATTCTTTTAAGAGAGACAAGGCTTTCTCCTGGAAACCCAGCCATAATTTTTCCATCTTTTTCAAATTGTACTGTTATTTCTTTTTAACATCTAACATGCTAACTGAGGCCTCAATTTGCTGGGACGTCCACTGCTGGGCAGATTGTGACATTTTGTTAACACACTCCAGACCAGCAAACTGCCAAACTTGTGCTGTTATAAAGGTGGTGACACTTGACAGACTATCCACTAATAAAGCCTATTTGAATAACAGTAGCTGGCTGCTACTTACCCTCCTAATTCCTGTGGAGGAGTAAGGGTGTAGTTTTTCAAAGGCATGACTTTATGCAAGGTTTAATCACCCAGGCTTCATGTTTTGTTTTGTTTTTTTATCTTTGGCAACTTAGTGGTTTTAAAAACAGCAGATGAAATGCCAAAGCATCTAAATATAGATACGACACAGAAGCGTATAAATGATGACGCAAAGACATAACCGTATATACATATGTTTTGTTTTTTTGCAAATATTCTGATTTAGGAGCAACATGAAATATCCTGTGTTCAAACGAAACCTACTTTAAAATGATTCATACGCACAGGAATGAATGAAAAATGTTTCCACCACTGTTGCTGCACCACCCTACATCCAATTATATCCTGGCGTTTTTTGGGGGAAAATACTAAACAGCGACTCTCCCATGCTGACGTAGCTGCGTGCTGACACAGTGACGTGGTTAATAGCCCTACGAGCGGTCACCTCCTCTGTTGTCTTAGCAACAAAATAGAGAGGGACTAAAAAAGGGAAACAGACTAAAAAAATATTATTCCACACTCATCACTCACTTCACAGGCCGGTCGTTTACCACACGCTGCTGCGTTTCATCCTGCGTGGAGCTTCATAAAGCAACAAAGAGCAGCTTAAACGTGCCTCGCGTAATCTGGTAAAATAACTGCACGCTTAGCAGCCTGGAGCTCCTGTCGTCCCATCAACAAGTTTGGAGACGTGCGCGTAAAGACGAATGCGATTGTAAAAAAGTTAGCAGGCCTACCCGTGTGGTGTTTCTGGGTGAGTTCATGGAGATAAAGTTCATCTTTCGGGTCATCCGGTGAGAGCAGCCTCATGCGAGTGGCGCGGGGACCGTTTCTCAGCTTCCTTCTGACATTTCCTCACTGCGCGCTCCACCCATGCATAGACAGAGGGACCGCCCTGCTTCCTCTCATCACCCAGAACAGCAGGGACTTTTATGAAATGTGAGGAGCATAAATTACGTGCAACAATTCTTAATGTCATCCAGAATTTTAAATACATCTTAAATAAATTTTATATTCAGCTAACCGGGCAAACATTGCAATTTAAATCAACTTCACAACATTTAATCGTAGCAATGTTACATTGCAAGATACTGCTATATTGTGAAATTCAGTGTAAAGGAATCTGATTATTTTTTCCTATTTAGTGCTTCTTCTGCTTTTGCTACAAAGTGTTATACAGTTGCAAATACTAAGTCCATTATATTTAGTCTTAAAATGTGAAAGGGTGTGTGTGCAGTCATTGAGCACACTAACAAGATCTATAATAATAATAATAATACATAATAATGGGCAATTTAAAAAATAATAAGTGAACTGCGCTTCATGTTCGTGGATAAAAATCTCAGTCTACCTTGGAAACGGCACAAAAATACACAGTAATAAGCCTATTAGTAGTAATCCTGTGGTACAGACGTGAACACCCCGAATCTGATAGGCAGTTGTTCACCGAAGCTGTGAAGTTCCAGTTCCAGTGAATGCAACTGTTTTTTCCGAATGCAAGTGAAAGCAGCATTGCATTACGTAACGGCAGCGAGTTCCTGGATTGGGCCACTAGTGGAAGTTGTGACGTGCCTCTGTGTAAATGAATAGTTACTTAGTAGCATCAAATGGAATTTATAGTTACAATGTTTCTACATCGAGCTCATAATGGAAACAGACAAAAACTATTATCACACACAGGCGCACAAGATCAATTATTACATTTTAAAGCAGATTTACTTTAAGTACTGATTAGATACCAAAATTGTCTCTCTATTCTGTTTTTTATTATTGGGAAGTTTTCACCCAGTAAAACCATTATTCTTTACAGTTAGCATAGATTAAAGCTGTATATGACCCTTTTTTTTTTTTTTAAAGGAAAGTGCACCGAACTTGTTGAAAGTTGTGGTCAGATGTTTACTTACATCATGGCATGAATGTTATAGTGGGGAGGGAAACCACTTGAGGAAACCTCTTTTAACAGGAGGAAATCTCCAGCAGATCGAGTCTTTGGTAGGGGAAGCCACCTGCCACTCACTGATTGGGGGTGAGGTGCAATTATTTGGAAATGGCTCCAAGAGATCTTCCCCACTTGTGTAAATCTTCAGTTCTCCTTCTTAGACCTCCTCAGAGTTCCTTAGACTTCACCATTGCTCTGAGTATTGTTCTGTTCAATGAGTGCGGTCAAAGTCTGGAAGCTGTTTGATATGAAAAAGCAGGAAATGCTTTGTTTGTCATGTAATGATTCATCATCATGCAATCTTTTCAGAAAACTCTCAGCGCAATTACATTTTGCTTTGTCAGCAACAGCAAACTCGGAGAGAAACACAGAGAGGCAAGTTCTCCCGGTTCTGGGGGACTGACTAAGAGATCATAGAGTTAATTTTTGTCCCAGTTTTATTTTCTCTTCACGTTTACCTCAGCTGCTGAGCGCCTTACATTTGTCAAGCTTTTCTCTGATGCCCAGTGGTCCTATGTGTTAAGATCCAAGAGAGAAGTTACTGCAACTGGTTCTGACAGAGAGGCATCAGAATACACAGCACATCACAGCTTGTTGCATATGGTGCTGCATAGCCTTCAGTGCTGCACTGAGGAACTCTTCATAGGTCTTGTGCCCTCTGGTGGTCCTTTATTCATATATTAGCAGAAATACTTTGGCTCGTTCTCCAGATTGCAACATAACCCACTGGAGAGATGACACCAATAACAACAACACCAACCACAACAAATTTTTTGCAATAACTGAAATACAAAGATACAACCATTCCATTTTATTATAAACAAAATACTGCTGTATATTAATTGTTTCAAGTAAATACCCGTGATAGGATGCTACCTGTGCAACATGTCCAGTTGTGAAATGTCCTTACTTCTAAATATTCCACAGTCAGCTGTTGGTGGTATTTTTACTCAGTTTTTGTATTAGTTATAGTCTCTATTAATTATTATTTGTCACAGCTGGGAGTAATCAGGCTGGATGAGACAAGGGAAGCAAACTAGAAACACTGAAATGAGACATGGACCTTCAAAGTAAAAGGAAACACACTGACTGAACTCTAGACATGTAAACTTAACAGCATATGTGGAGACAGAACATAGTAACCTGAAACATGGTACAGAAAGGCACAGTAGACACAACATGGAACACAGTGAAGAACTAAACCTATGATAACCATAACTGAAACCTAGGGAAATAACAAACATAGTACAACAAAGGACTCAAAACATAAACCATAATATAAAAACACAAAAAGCTGGGTCAGAAAGACCCAGAACTGTGACATTATTGTATGAAGGGCAAGATTTAGGAAAATCAGTACAGGTATTACAGTGTTTTGAAAACAGTTGACTCCCTGTCTTGTTAACATCCCAACAAAGTCTCATAAGGATAAAAGTTTGGAAAAAAAAATATCCAATCAAACTAAAAAACATCTTAGTTAGTTTTCCATGTTCACAAAATTATGTTTAGTACATTTTTCAAAAGCCTAGTTTTTATTTTTAGTTAACTTTTTTTTCATTTCCAGTTTTAGATTTTAGTTTGTTTTTGGTAAACAGCAATAGCTTTGGTCGAGAAGTCACTGGAGAGATTATATATCTCATGTGGGAACACCCCAGTTCTTCTCAGGCAGGAAAAATTACTGGATGGATGGGTTTAATAATGTTAAAAAGCTAGGAAGTGGTGATAGTTTTTAATATATTTCCTTTAAACAAAGATCTTGTTGTGCAAAACCCAGCCAAAGGGCCAATGAAAGAGGACATTTTTATTAGTTGTTTTTATTTTAAGTGTTTTTTCTTTTGAAGTTTGAAAAATGTTTATTAGCATTAGATAACAGCTACGTAATAGACCTAAAAATAAGCCATGAAAAGCAAGGAAGGAACCAAAACCGAAACAAAACTTTTACAAACTCCAGTTTCATCAAATATTATCAGATAATATAGAAGCTGTAGCAAGACATTCATCTGTCCCTTATGACACGTGGATTTTTTTAAAATGAGCATTATTATTATTATGATCATGAAATTAAAAACACTGAAAAATAAAAACAATCAAATTTAGATATATTGCAACTCGAAATCAGCTTTCACAACCTGAATTGAAAATCAAGAGGTAACTTTGCAAGATTGTTTCTTTAGAATTCAAAGTCATTCAATTTCATTGTGTATACATGTCAGCAGTTACTTGCAGGATTGTTTGATGGTGAACTATGTTTTAACAATATGTCTCTGATCTGTTCCGCTTTTTTCTTTTGTTTCATATCCACAAGGTTTTCTATAAGTTTCTTTGAGGCCTGTCTGCCTTCCTTCTCCACCCACGTCAGTAGCAGCTGCAGCGTTCGCTCCTCAGCATCATTTCGATACTCCATTTCATAAGATTCAGCAGTAGTCATACTTATCCCAGTGCGGAGAGCTAGGTTTCTTGCATTTTTCCATCCAAGCTCCCTTGCAATATCAGACAGGTGAGGATCAATGTCAACATCTGAAAATAATGTAAAAAGAAAAAATATTAAAAGATGGGTATTAAGACCACAAATCACAATATTATAATTTACTGAGCATGCAATATGCAATGTTTTTTGATTAATGGATGAAAACGTTAAAGTCATGATCAGAAAGAAAAGAGGGTAATGCACTTTTGTTCCAAAGAAATTAAAAGTTTACAGAAAATAACCGTATGAAAAAATGCAAATGCATGATATGCACAATAACTTGTTCTAAAATCTGATTCTGACTGGTTAGGTCAAAAGACAGAGAATAATTAAAGCTCTTATATTGGCTTGAATAAAGTCATGTTTGTTACCTGAAAGACGGCGGATGAGCTTCTGTGAAGCAGAAACAAAATAAAAGTTTTAATTCTTTTCAGTTTTGTTTGCGGTGAAGTAACAAACTGCTCATGTCCATGTGTGTGTGTGTGTGCGTGCGTGCGTGTGTGCGAATGTGTGCAGAAAGGCAATTGGATGAACCAGAGATCAAAGAGTAAATATCACGTCATAGGTGTCCAAAGAAAATAACTTACTTCTTTGCTCTTTTCATCCTCTTTCTTTTGTTTTCTCCCTAATGAAACACGAATAGAAATTACACAGAAAAACTGATCAAGATACAACTAAATATTGAACTGAATATAAATAAAGCCTTCAGTGTTGAGCAAGGAAACACACAATGTCGTCTGGTGGTGCTTTACTCATATATTAGCAGAAATACTCACTCGCTATCCAGATTATTCCAACAACGGCTCCAGGAATAAGTACTAGAATAATAATTACAGCAATAATAATTCCAGCAATAACTGAAATGAGAGGATATGACCATTAATATTTTGCAATGCTAAATGTGTCCAAAATGATTTATTAAAATCCAATAATACTTAAGAACACCTTACCTCCACCATTTTCATTGCAGACTGCATCACTGTTGGCTGTACAGGCTTCTTTAACACCACCAAATCCACATCTTGAACCAAAACAACAAACAACCACGAATGAATCAAAAATAACTACAAAGGGAGCGGACAGCCTTAAAGGGCAAGTCAAGAGACAATAGATTTTTTAAAGGAGCTACACACACATGTCACAAACTCTTTGTTAGAAACATGTTTGCAATCTAATGAAAACCATTACAATAGCTCTGCCATCACTTCTGCTTTTACAAAATGAATGAGTTTCAGCAAACAATGCTGGAAATGTTCCAATTATTTAAGTGTATTACTAAGATGGCGATGTATTGAGCTACATTACATTAATAGGTGTTCCTATTATTTTGTACAATGTATTAATATGAATACTGTACTCAGGTCTAGTACATTAGCGCTAGGGAATATGCACAGATTTACATGCTGAATGTAATTTCAAAGTCAAATCAAACTTACTTTTTACATGGATGGCAGATTGTGCAACTTTCACTGCTGCAGAAGTGATCTGTCTTGCATCGACACTTGGTGTCCCTACCAATAGTGCACTCTTCTTCTACTTCTAAATTAGCTGAAAAGTTGAGAAAAGTCACACAAGTTATTATTGAGAAGAAACTTGCATTGTTTTAATTGTGAAATAGACCAAGGACGGTTTTCCTTTACTTTTTCGTATAAAAAGATGGGATGTGAACTTTCATATATAAATTGAAATAATGCTTGGATAATTCTGGTACTGCATTTTAATTATCTGCTAACCTTATATATTTAAAAATAAAATATTAAAATATGACATCTAAGAAACTGCTAATCAATATAGCACATGTATAATCCAGTAGATAATGGTTAATGATAGCTGATTTGATTTCAGGGTCCTCATACTGGACTTAAGCATCGTTAGAGCTGTGACGAGTCAAACATTCTGCAGCAAAAGGTGAACTTTTCTCTAATATTTTGTCTTTAGTTTAGCTGTGAATAAAAGGAACAGCCATGTCCTATCATAATTGTACCATTTGCCTGTGCGCAGGAGGTGCAGGGGTGACAGGTCTCCCGGTTACTAGGCTCACTGTTGTATTTGCCATTCTCGCAGATTTCACATTTTCCATCCTTTTTATTGCCATTACTGCAATGCTGTATTACTCGCTGTCCTACAGAGTGGAGAGAGATGATGCAGAAGAAAGTCTGTTAATGGTATTACACTGTTTAAACATGAATAGAATACAATAACCAGGGGTGCAAGTAAGTGGTCCGCAGGTGCGCATTCGTTGCAACTTCTTATCTCTGTTAACTTGTTGTTTTCTGTTATATCGCGAGAGTACTGTTGCCCGCGAAAAGTCGTTGTTATGGTGTGTGAGCGGAAAGGGGGAGAACATGGCGTAACCAATAAAGCGCTTGGTGTGAGACTACGACGTCGTGTCTTTTGACTTAATAATCTGGTGCGCGTCTTTTATTTTGACAGCGAATGCGCACCTGCGGATCACTTAATTGCACCCCTGATAATAACAAACACTAGTAGATCTGTATTTAAATTAAAGAATAACACCCTTACTTTTGAAATGAAAAATAATGGAAAAACCCAGCACAGCACTACTGTTTATCAAAAAACATCACCCAGCTACACAGCTGAATGTGACTAATATATTAATTATGTAATTGGTACTATAGATACAGCAACAATTAAAAGGTGAAGTTTGAACTTTTTTGCCCCTTTAAAGCTACATAGACCTTTCTATTGGGTCCTATCCTAAGAGTTGACTGCTCCACAGCACCACCAGAGATAAGCAAGGGGGTCATAAGTTAATGGGAGAAAAAAAAAGAGAAGACAGGTTAGTGATGTTTTGTTGTTGTTGTTGTTATTTTAATCTTTAATTAAGGCTTATTTTCCCAGTTATTTGGCTGTTCTGGCTCAACAGGTTGTGCTATCTCACTCTGTTACAGAAATTTAGGGAGAAGTTCAGTCATAAGATTGGTGACTCATGAGGTGTCAAAATAACTGGAAATATGAACGGAAAATTTCTAGCAAACATAATCTGGAAAGCCCTCGTAAAGCATACGACTTGCAGAGTTGCTGGCATGCAGGCTGGCAAAAGTAAATGTTTTGATCAGGCATGTCCAGCAAGTCCAGGTCATTCTCCTTTGCAGGCCCCTTACTCCTACTGTAAATATATTATTTATGGCCACAAACAGAATTAATATAGTGTAATTTCTCTTTTCACAACATGGTGGCAGCACTGTGCTGTGCAACCAATGAATGTATAAAAGTTTTGTACACTCACAAA